ACCGCTACGACCGCCACTCCCCACATTTGTGTACTGTCCAAGTGCTGTCTACCAACCTTCGCAGATATGTCCCAGCGTACTTCATCCACGTTTTGTATTCAAAACACCTGCCTTACTTAATTCGTCCACTTGTAGCTGCCTATACTTACGGGGTTGTTCACATCGCGCACATCATTTTATGCAGCTATGCCCCAGTGTAATACGTCCAGGCGTACAAAGTGCGTAACCCGCGCCCTACGTGTGGGCTTTGCCTTTGTTTACGGCCACCACAGCGCCTTATACGAACCGCTTCCCACCTGCCATCTTCCCGATACAACCGACCGAACTTGCGCGCTGCCCTGGCGCTGCACTTTTCCCACATGCAGGTGCACGAACCGCGCCCTAGACACGGGCTTTGTCTTTAACACTCCTGCCTCCCTCCATTCGTCCAGTTGTAACCATCTATATTTACGGAATTGTCCATCTCATGCAATTCATACTGTACAGCTATGTCCGCAATGTACTTCGTCCACGCGTACAAAGTACATGACCCGTGCCCTATCTGTGTGTTATGTCTTTGTTTACGGCCGCCAAAGCTCCTTATACTACTCACTTCCGCCACGGAAAGTAGCGACGGAGTATGCAGCAAAAACTCACGACACGGCGCTGCCATATCATAGTTCCTTTAACGCGCTCTCGAAACAACCCTCAAAAGTTAAATGGAGCCAAAGCCGTTTAATGGTTTTATAAAAACGGCTTATTAAATGAAAAATAGTACAAAGGCTTTTGTTGCAAATCAGGTGGCCGTTATCTTTGCGCTCCTTGCGGCTGCGCGGAAGGGCCGGGTGTGGGGTCTCTGTGAGAAAGCAAAATGAAGGCAGCAATAATTCGGACCTTGATCATTGTCATCTGATCACTTACCTTTCAATCGCCTTTTCCGGAAGGCGTCCAATTTTCGCTTTAGGCGCCTGCTAATGGCCCCCTCTAATTGCAACACACCAACGCCTTCGCCCTTCCATTGAGCAAATGTTTTTGATGTGCAGGTGGTTCGAACCTTCTTTCTGAAAACAGAGAAAAATGGCCCCGTACATGGCTGTGCCGCGTAGGGCCGGCTTTTCGCCTTTGCATTTGAAGTTGACATTCAATGTCTGGATGAAATCACGGGCAAAGATTTCTATATCCCGTCCGCCTACACAGGACATGGAGGCAACCCTAAAGTGTAATTGAGGAAGAGCATACACCTTACCAATTGCTTGCAGAACCGTGAGTCAAGCTGGCGTAGGTTCATCTGCTTGAAATCTTCCCTAGTGGTCATCCGGCCACTTAGGCGATTTGTGGGGATTCCGGCACTTAGAGTGCGCGCGGACTCACCTACGGCTGCCTTCCTCTGACGACATTTGAGGGTCATCTGGAGACCAAACAGGGCCATGGTATTGATTTCTATATATGTAACCAAACCAACAAATACAATGAGAGCATAAATGACAAACTTACTTGTCAATGATTGTCCGTAAGGAGGCGCACATACTTAGAAAGTAAAGCTGGAGGCGCGCTGAGTGGACAGTGCTTAAGTGTCAGCCGCGTAAATATGCAGGCTGGTAGCTTCCGCAGGGTACGTGAAGTGATCTCTTATATTAACGCTCTCGGTTTAAACAACGTAAGCTATTCCTTTCCTGTCGCATACTGTGTTTTGCACGAACGCCATTTCATCTTATATGGATATACACCCATTGCAGTATCTACTCTGCAACGTTCGCCAAAAGATCGTGTTTATTAATCGTGGGACTCACGGAAATCATGTACACAGAAGCTGTAACTCACATCCAATTTTACCCATTTGTGAATACAGCAGGTGCACATGAGAGACTTAATTCAACCTATTATGTATGACCGTTAGCATTAGAACCCGTTTTTTACAGCAGATATTGTGTATGGGAGTGAGTTGAAAAGGTTAAGTAAAGGTCCCAAATATGAGGTCGCTGAATACATTTATAACTTCCCAAGATTGAGAAAACTGCATTGAGCTGGTAGCAGAATGACCTTGTCATCTTTAAAGTTCGAACACAGTTAGAAATAGTTGTTATATAGATGGTTACGGTAGAAAACCGCATGGCTCTCTCTGCTGTGACTGCTAACCTGAACGATGGGGTTTTACATCTTTTGAAAACTCATGAGTATTCTCCCGATCAAAAGAAAAGCCTGTTAGCCTCTAATGTTGTGTTATCTTTTGTCGGAAAGATTCCGGTACCCAAGATGACAGTAAAGTTTAGTGTGCCACACCGACCATTAGGGATATCTGTGTGCGTTATTGTTAAAGACATGCGAGGAAAGGATTATGAGGCTAGCAGTGTCATTTGGAAGTCAATGTGGCAGAAGGATTTGTCTAAACACGGGACAATCAATCTCCCACCGGTCACATTTTTGCCCATAAGCGAACTGAAATTGGCGTATCAGTCTTTCGAAGCGCGACGGAAACTTGCGGCTACGTTCGACGTTTTTCTTGCCGACAAGAGAGTGGTTCATCACCTACCAACAAATTTGGGAAAGGCTT